ATTTATGCTCTTGTGCTCAGCTCTTTATAACTATTTTTTCCATAAGTCATATCATAAACATTGCCAAGTGTTTAGAGTGAACGCAAAGAGGACAGATATAAAACGTTTGGATTACACGTTACCTGCAGCCGATAGGTTTAAAGTACGACTCAGTATAAAGGACATTAGGTGTGCTAGAACATATCAGCCATTTACCACCTGAGACTGAGGTTGCATTCGAATAGTCCATTTAGCTTAGGAACCTTCCTAACGGAGTGAAATGACCCGGAAGTCCCTCAGTGGCAGCCATGATAAGTGCCGTTCGAATTCTCTAAATTAAAAGGAAAGGAGGTTTCAAACTTCCTTTATAACCTCCTTTAGCTTAGGAACCACTGGACCTCCCTAACCGAAAGGAGAGGAGAAAATGCTGCCCCACAATGCCTTGCGGCCGCAGCATTTGCCGTCACACAACAGTCGGCCGTTCACGGAAACAACCGATTATGAACGAGAAATGATATCATGAAAGTTACGGTGCTTATTAAGCATTTTAAAACGTACTGTATGTGGTAAGTTGCCAAAGTGCTTTGTTTTGAACGTTCATCAGTATTATAATCAAAAAGAGAAATATGAACGTTAGTTTTTACTGAAATGATCAAATAAAGTCAACATTTCACAGTCTTTACTGAGCTGTGTGGGGTTTGTTCAACTTTTAAAAGATGTTTGAATGGTGATATACACAGTGATAGATGTTAAGGACTAACGTTTATAATAAATACATTTGTATTGATTTTAAGATCTTTTCATACAATCATACGTATTGGGATCATTTGTATTAATGTGGACCGGAGGGAGAGGGTGACGAGCATAAGTTTCACTTTCCTTTTTTATTTCAATTCCAACTTTGGTCATGAAGAATATGTTTCTCTGTTGTCCCCGTTCATAAAGCATAAAACAACAGCATCAGAGCACGGTGCAGAGTCTCTAGATGAGTTTACAGTAGTCCCTCGTTCTTATTAAACATCCATGTTGTAGTCCGCTGTATAGAAAACTGTAGTTTCCATAGTTTCCCCACAGCAGCAGGCGCACATTTATGACCTCCGCTGGCGCATCATAAACACGTCGGATAGTGAAAGTGCAGTCGGATTCTCTAAAGTACCGCAGTCTCTTCTCCTAAATCCTTTTGAATTCTCCTATCCACTATCCCGTAACCCCATGACGTTTCACTCAGAGGTCAAGGAATAGACGATAGGGTTAGAACTTAGGAGCTGTTTTTTTGGAGTATTCGAACGCAACCTGAGTTCTGAGCAGGAGGACGATAAAGAGTGGCACTGACTGCAGTAATCACATTACACAAACTCATTATCTATATAAGGCTAAGAGGAGGAGGGGGGGGGGGAGAAGGAGAACACCAGAGTAATCACTTTTAAAGTTTATTCATTACGCTGCAGTTTGACTACAGCATAAGTACAAGCATAAAATCTTTGACTACAACAGCACTTAGAGCAACATTTTTTGATTTTTTTTCTTCTTTTCTGTAAAAGTATTGCAATAACAGACCTTAGGCCTAAAACCTATTACATCACAATTGCTTAAATAAAAAGAGGCAAAAATACACAACAATTTTAACCTCTGTGTTTGGATATATATACACTGTATGGTTACTGAATACAGTCATATATATATCTTGATTTGAGCACAGAGGGGAGGGGGGCGAACAAGGAGGATTCATTTTGTAAATAAAGCAAACGGATGTTACAAAACCCATGATGGAAGCAGTCCTATGGTAACTGTCGAGACAGAGAATACCAAACTGTTGAGACGTTATCATGTGATTATTATCATCGTTATTATTTCAATCTGGAACGATAAAAACAGCTACTTGTTGTCAGCAGTTGCGTACAGACTTCTGATAAGTGGAAAGAGGGAGCACGCTGCGGGGGGAAACCAGATGCAGTCAGTCTGAGCCCCAGTTAGTTCTTCAAGCTAGTGCAGGAAATGAAAAAAGTGTTTAAGAGGAGAGCCGAGCGGGGCTCCAGCCGAAGGTACAATAGAGACTTTTCCAAACGACACACTGCCACTGATCTTTGAGGAGAGGATGCTATGTACATCGTCTAGATAAGAATGGACATGCTCTGCGGTTATTGTACAGTGGAGTTATTTTCAGTACAAACTGTAAATAAATGACTACAGATTAAACAGGACTTGTTTCAATATACTGTGCCACATATAACATTGTAATGTAGAAAATAAAAAAAATTATAATAAAGAGAGAAAAGATAAATAACGGCATTTTCACTCGTTTAACACTGGTGCAACATTCCCAGTCTTGACTGAAAAAGGAATGTTCCACTCCTCCTGCTCACCGTCTGAAGTCAGGGTCCTGTAACGGAGCTGAAATGCTTGAACCGGAGCCACAGTGTGCTCCACAGAGTGCTCCACAGATTTATACTTTGGCAGATATACAAAACGACAGCTGAAGTGAACTAAAGAGTAGTTAAGATCTACGAGTATTCTTCCATATCTAGAAGTGCTGACTGCTCTCATGTGTATTGGTCATGTGACGCGGATCCTAAACTAGACATCCTCGGTTCTTTGTTCATCAATTTACAAATCGAGTAGAAATCCAACCGGAGCCTGGCTGAAGTCGTGGCATGAACAGCAGCTGATGAGAGTCTCTGTAAGACCTGTGGAATCAGCTGTTAGTGAAGTGAAGCACCGGCTGGTCCGCATGCTGGCAAGACATGAGAGCTTGTTCTTAGAGGAGCGATCCAATAAACAAGTGAATAATATCTCAACTATTCCTTATACAGAGGTTATCTCATCCTTTTCATAACAGACTATTATTTATAGCAAAATATTATAAGTAGTAATTTGTATTTGTGATGCAACCATATTGTAAGCATATTTGCAAACCATGTTTTCTCATAAAAAAAGACAAAGCACGTTTTTAACTGTAGGCATTTACAAATTTGATGCTGCCTTCTTAAAATTCTTATATTGTCTATACATTATATTACATTATTCACAACATTTTTTGTGGTTTCTACCCATTGGGTAGGATATGTGCATAATATATTCAAGTTATATACAGCACCTTACAAACAAACAAAGAAAGACAGACTACTGAAAAAAGCACCGTTGGAAGTGAGGCACAACGAAGGTGGGAGCTTTTTGAGTGCAAGTGGGTTCCTATGTCTGCTCCACAGCTGGACAAATGACTGGTTGGAACGGCTCCAGCTGTTTTCTCACGAGTGACCACATCTGTCTGGCACAAAGGAAGCGAGCCACCAAATGTATACATCAGATTGAGTCTGAGGCCCAGACCCCTGGAAGCAAGCCACCTCTGTAACACGACTTTACAAAAAGACAGAAATGATGATTTTTGGGCTAACCTGGCTAACTTTCCCATAGCTTCCTGTTCCACTGTGCCAGTCAGGAGTCATGTGACAGGAAGCAGCTGGAAGGTCCCAAGCAGCAGTTTGACTGAGGTGTGGTCTGCTCAAACATGAACATTAGGCACCTTATTTACTCACATAATAGTAACATGCAAACCTCCTTGTAGAAAACATAAAATTCATCTTTATATCCTCAATTTACAAGCTATGACTGCGCAGACAGAACAAGGCGAGAAAACAACAGAAAGAAGGAAGAGAGAGGAAGGGGACGCCGTGTGGAGCGGGTGTGTCCAGTCAAAGGCTGAAGTGTTGGGACTCACCCAGCTGTGTGTGGAACATCATGAACATTTAACGTGTGTCTCACAGGAAACAAGACCACGCTTTGTCTCAATACTTGTGCTTTTGACTGCAGAGTCAGATTTCTCCTAGTAGTTTTTGGATGAGTGGATGGACAGAAGACATGGGGGTGGGTGGGTGGGGGAGGGGTGCATGAAAAGCAGCAGTAGCAACAATATTAGCAGTAGCAGCAACAGCAATAGCAGCAGCGATGTAGTAACACACACACACACGAATACATTCAAACACAGCGCTTTCATTCAAACTGACCAAGGCCTGCTCCCCCCTTCATCCCTCCTGAAGGTGTGCAGCTCTGTTTGTTTGAACAGTAACTCATGTCAAATGTGTACAGCTGCAAATTAAACTTTGTAATGCTACTGCCGATTCAAAAATAAGGCTGGTGATATTTTTGTAATCGCCAACAAATCCAACATCAAAGCACAACAAGCATTGTGTGCATTAAAGCTGGAATGCCTTCCCTCTGTGCAGTAAATCTCTGATTGTGAACACAAACACTGTAGTTCAGTTTCACTCACATCACATATATATATATTTACCGCTGTCAATGCTAACAATTCCTTCCCTTTGCTAAAAACTACATTGCACAGCTGTTTTATGAAATGATTGACTATCATCTAAAAATGTAACCAACTCACATGTTAGCTTGAATGCTTCTTCTTGGCAATACAATAATAAAATGAGTCATGGTCCACTAACTATCCTTTCCCACCTCATATTAAAGTGATCATGTGATTACAGGTGGTGGTATGAACACTAACAAGTGGACAATGGGTCAGGAGCTTTTAGTTGAGACATAGAAACACACCCTTTTGGTCTTTGCATGAGATTTGTTGACATAAAAAAAATATATTGAATAATACCAGCCCCTCCTCTTGTAACCTCATCAGAGACAAAGCCATTTTTTGATTTAGTATTATATATTTGGTTTCGTCAGATCTTCTATTATTTGTGTTTATATTTTGCAATAGACAAGGACAATAGTGTCCACTCACAACACGCGTTGTAGCGTTCATGCTCAGGGTGTGAGCCTACTATTGAAACATGAACAATGTTGCTTTAATGAAAGCTGTGCTAATATATGACACACACACACACACACACACACACACACACACACACACACACACACACACACACACACACACACACACACACACACACACACACACACACACACACACACACACACACACACACACACACACACACACACACACACACACACACACACACACACACACACCACACACACACACACACACACACACACACACACACACACACACACACACACACACACACACACACACACACACACACACACACCTTTAAAGGGCTTGGCAGGCTCTGCATCATTTGAACACAGATGGAGGGTTGGATGATGAGCAGTGTTTAGCAGAGACACTGTGGGGTTAGAGGGGGGGGGGGGCATTGGTGTTGAAAGCAAACAAGATAAAGAGACAGAAAGCGCAAGAGCAGAGGAGAAGGCAACATTGAGCAGAGTAAAAGGCTCATTTTTCAAAAAGGTTTTCTATTACAAAAAGGACCCTCCCATAGCCCTTTGACTTCGGCCACAGACACTCTTCGTTTAAACCTGATCGCTGTGAGTCTTCATTTTGTGTCGTCCTGTGTTTTTGTGGCTGTAGAAACGTGAAGACGGAGAGCCGAACTTTGTTTTGTGTTTTCATTGGCGGGGTTCGTGTTCAGTATGGCTGTTGGCAGAATGAACTGTGCATGTAAAGACGAGCGGTGAGAGGGGAGGAAAGGTTAAGGGTGGGGGGTATGGACGCAGGAATCAGGAAAAAGTCAGTGTCAGGTGCTCAGAGGTGAGAAGTGAAGAAACTGCTGTGACCAGGCGGCTGGACGGAGAGAAGATATGTTTTCTTGCTATGGAATATTCTTATACTTGGTTTTCTTGATATCAAACCAGCTTAGCATGGAGCAGCTCCTATGGTGTAGCAAGCTAGTAGGAAAGGTTTGGTCCGCCCAGCTGCTGGTCACAGGGCAGACCCCCCCCACAGACCTGTCCTGTCTCACTGTGGTGAAGCACACACCTTGTAGGCTGGGTACCAGCTTTTCTTGCTGTTTTCAAAAAAGGAAGGACATAAGCTTATAATACTTGTTTTGCTCCCAACTGTTTAAACAACTTTGGAGGCAAAGTACAGTCAGTCAGTCCATTCATGAAAAGGACAACAAAAGAAGAAAACAAACATAAAAACAAACACATCATTATCATAACATAGCATCATTTCCCTCTTCTCTTTACAACAAAAGATAGTGCAACTTTTAGATAACTTTTCTTTTTGTGTGTTGAATGTTAGAACAAGTTGTTTTTCTCCCTTTGCTTTGCTTCCTCTTGAACCTTGGCACTAAGACGTGGGTTTGTAAGTCTCTTGTTTTGTTGTGTTCTCTGTAGGTCCTTGATTCTCACTTCTCGCTTTGTGCACAGATCCCGGTCCGAAAAAAGAAACAAAAAAAGGAAAACATCGCCCTCAGATCCCAGGGACAGCGCCGCCTCCTGAGGGGACAAAAAAGCATATCGTTCCCATCGGTGCTAGCAGTGTTTTCTCATGTAGAGGACAGGAAGTCTCCGCAGTGCATACATCCTGCCACAAGTGCTCTGTGTGAAGGACAGAGGGAGTTCCTCTCTGATCTGTAGCCCAGGCTGAGATTCTTTGTGCATGGTGGGAGTGTGGAGAGGACATGAGACAGAGACACTGCTTCCAGGGACCAGGTGGAGAGGACAGACAGCGTTCAGTCCGGGGTGTGTGGCCCCCCCGCCCCCCTGCCCTTTTCTTCACACCAGGTCCTCTGGTTGGCCATCCTTGGCCTTGGCAGGTACTATTGTGCTTTCTGATTGGCTCTGCTGCTGGATGGTCCGGCCCCCCGGCCCCCCCCCCCTCTGGTTATTGCTGTGCTGGTGTAGAAAGAACGCTGAGCCGGGGTAGTGGCCCATCACCTCGCTGTATGCCGGGGGGGGGCCCTCCATGCGCCCGTGGCTGCTGGAGTTGGCCGCACTGATGCCCGAGTTACTGCTGGGGGGCCTGGGCCCGCCCCCTCCCATTCCTCCCACTACTCCCCCCACCCCTCCCAGGCTCCCCCCTCCTCCCATGTCGATCAAGTCACTGTCGTAGATGGTCCGGTTGGGGGGGGCCCTCACCGACTCGCGGTTCAGCTCCATCTGCTGCTCGGGGTCCCGGAGCTGCAGGGTGCAGGGCCCCTGGTAGGGGGGGGGCTCCTCGCCGTCTGACAGCGAGATGGTGGGGGGCAGGTCGATCTGGTGCTGCAGGTAGGGGTAGGTGGGCTGGAAGCGACTGAAGCGGTCGCGCTGCATGAAAGAGGGGGCGGTGAAGCGGTCCCTGGCCTGGGGGGCGTACAACACCTGAGAGAGGGGGGGGGGGGAGAAAACTTATTTTTTGATATGTACCACAATACATGGATATAAACCAAACAGATGAAGGGTTATTCATGTTGTAATAATCAGACTAATTCAGTTTACATGTACAAAATTAAACAATCAAACAACTTAAACTTCTATTTAATGATCAATAACATCCTGCCTGGCCTCAGTGTCATTTTGTATTGAGACTGCTGCCATCAGTTTATTCAAATATGCATATTCCTGACCCCAAATGTTGGATTTAAGTATATATATATATATATATATATATATATATATATATATATAAGTTACAAGTGAACCAGTATAATGCAATGCAAACACTTAATCCTGTTGCAGCACTCACCAATGTATTACCATTTCATGATTGAAGACATAACCATGTCATTACAGTGACGGGTAAAAAAGAACCAAAGTGTCTGATAAAAGCCGACAACATGAAACATATCCCTCCCCCCAGCTTTTGTCAAGAGATCTTCTCCTCTTCAGACTGTGACTCTATGATCCATTTCTTCATCTCTGCCCAATTCAACACATTGTTTTAAACAGAAAGCTGCTGAGATAAGGAGAGAGGAAAGGAGAGTACAGAGAGGAAAGGAGAAGAAAGAGACGTGCAGATAAAGGGGGGGGGGTGTACAGCTGATAGAGAGAGCCAGCAGAGCAGGGCAGCTCTCAGACGGCTGTCTAGACAGTGTCAGGGGAGGTGTTGCTGATTAATGACGCACCTACCCCCCCCACACACACTCAGCCCCCTCCCCTGCATCCATCAGCCACCCACACTCCGGGCTGTGTCCCTGTGTGCATGTCTCTCCATGGCTTCTCCTTTTCTCTACAGCTCTCTGGGTGCTGTAATGTTGACTCTGTTTTTATGTCCCCTCCCGTTCCCTCTTCCCGTCCCCTCGTCCCGTCCCCTCTTCCCGTCCCCTCTTCCTGTCCCCTCTTCCTGTCCCCTCCCGTCCCCTCTTCCTGTCCCCTCCTGTCCACTCCCGTCCCCTCCTCCAAAGTGCCTTGCCAGCTAAACTTCTCACACAGAAATATACCATAAGCAACTTATCAACCCTTTCATGTGATTGGTTGTTTCTCAGAGTATGTTCTAATTCTGTGTCTCTACTTGTTCCCAGTGCTTCTCCTCCCACTGCAGCTCCATCTGGCAAGATCACCATTAATCCAACAGATCCATATCCCCCCGATAAGTCATATTTCTTTCAGTTTTATTTGACAATGTTTGGCAACATAGCGACGTAAATAATGCATTGCATGATTTGAAGTTCCTCTCTTATTACATGAATGATGTTGAATAATCAATAACTGGATTTAGAGACAACAAACTAAAGAGCACTTGTTTTATTTTGGTGTGCTAAACGCAATCTCAAATGATATGAGGCTCAACCTGGCAGGCCTATGGCATATTCATTTTTCACAATAAGTCTTTTGAATGAGGTGGTACCTGTTGCTACCCCACTTATGGCGCATTTCCACTACAGCGCGGAGCTCACTTTAAGCGTGCCGTGTCGTGCCGTGCCCGTTTTTGGTTGCGCTTCCACTAGGCCTAGTTACGGCCCGGCGCCACTTTTTCACCTCTTTTCTGGCCCGACAAAATTGTGGTTCTATCGGGGCCAACAAACAGGGCTGAGTCGGGCTGAGTCGGGCTGAGTATGCTAAACTAGAGAGAGAATCGCTGGCAAGGGGGCTACAACTACAACAAGATGGACATATTTGACCGTGATTTAATTGTAATACACGTTTCAAAATGATGCCGAAGTAACAACATACTGATACCGGTTAGTAAAAACCATGAATTAATGCTTTGTCAAGTCTGCAGACAGACGGCAGGCGAAAAACCTTTTAAAATGCGTGTTTTTCTAGATGGAGATTGGCTAAGCTAACGCAGTATATGCTCCGACCGTCCACACTCACAACAACGGCCTATACAGACATAAATAAAGCAGCGACTGTATTCACCATGACACAGGCAGTCTGTGGTTTGTACTTGTTTAACTTTTGTCGAGTTTCTGAACATATATAAGGAGCTGTGAGCTCTGAGTGCTAACAGCTAACGGCTGTGTTGTTTTTCTGGAGTTCTCATTGAAGATGACGTCACGGCTCCGCCTACACTGCGTTACTATAGTAACTACCCCAGTTCCTAAACTGTAATGGAAGCGCAGCATGAAGTGAGTCGGCCCTGTTAAGGCCCAACGCGGCCAAGCCGTACCGAGCCGTACCGAGCGTGGCCGACCGTGTAGTGGAAATGCGCCATTAGAGTGCTGTAAATATCTGACCCTAGATACAATATTTGATTGGTTGCAAACATGAGGTGTAGCTGTGGCCCTGCTCCATCGGCCCCTCACAGTAACGGTGTGGCTGGTTTAATAGGGGTCAGTGTGGGGGGGCTTACCTCTGAGGCCCCTTGTCGTGAGCTGCTTTCTGAAGGCCACAGACACCCTTCCTACACATCGGGACAAACACAAGAAAACAAGAGTAAGGCTGAGGTTTAATAATGTTACGCACCCATCTGAAGCTTGTAAGCAAGAGAAGATTTATTTAGATATTTTTATATCTATGATACTTTCAAAAAAGACATTGCTGTTTCTTTATTTTAATATTGAACAAGAAATACTCTACATACTTTAGAATGTTTTTATGTATTTAACAATGTGTCGCATTTACTGATAAAGCTTTAGAAATCAACAATAATTTCTGCACGGCTGTTTGTTATGTCTGGGATGAGAGCCTATTAAGCTGACGACACATGACTTGATTTCTTAAGAAAAGGTATGAAAAGAAAAAAGCCCCCAGTGAAGTAACAACTTCATTAGGACACAACAAATGAAACCGGCTTCAAACAGAACATCTTGCCATGTTTAAAGTGAGGACAACAAAAGGAAGTCTCCCATCGTAAACAGGCAAGATAAAAGCAACGCTCAAATAACTGCAGGTTCCCTTTGTCTACATTTGACTTGAGGATCTTTTTTAGGGTGGCACAGTCAACAACATGTATGTAGAACAAGTGAAAGATGAAAAGGAGGAGCAACACAGTGTGCTGGTTCATGTGTCTGCTCTCTCTCTACAGGCTGCTTTCTGATCATGTGTCCACTTCTGTTTGCATAATCTTTATTTTCATTGGAGTGCACAGAGAGCAGAGATGAAACAGACAAGATGAGATGTTATTACTGGAATATGAATAATCAGCAATGGGACATGGAAGCATGCAAAAGCTTTTATCCGATTGTCAGATACTGATCTAGTGCTGAAAATATCCATGGACCTATAATTCTGCACTATGCCAATTTCTATGGGTTTCATTCTTGCGATGTGCGTAAATGCAGGTTTGCAGGTTTGTATGTGTGTGTGTGTGCCAGAATGTCGGCGTGTCAGCATCGGGGCAGAGCCTCCGCTGTCTAGACGGCACTGTAGTGAATTAAACATCAAGGCCTGACAGAGTCTGGCTCCGCAGAAACCAATTCAGCGAGTTCCCTCACAGACCAGACTGAGACTAAAAGGGTCATTTAGCCACACACACACACACACACACACACACACACACACACACACACAAACACACACACACACACACACACAACACACACACACACACACACACACACACACACACAACACACACACACACACACACACACACACACACACACACACACACACACACACACACACACACACACACACACACACACACACACACACACACACACACACACACACACACACACACACACACACACACACACACACACACACACACACACACACACACACACACACACACACACACACACACACACACACACACACACACCAAGGGCTCCCCAAACAACACCAATTTTATAAAATATGAAGCGTAAATGTGATTGCTAAAAGTAAGTGCATATGAATGCAGTACTTCACTGGCGCATGGCTGTGCATCACCACCGCTAAGCTACAGGCGGACTCGTGTCGGTGTGAGGACATTTAGGCCCCGTCCACACGGACACGAAACGGGTTGTATCTGCTACAGTTCTCTATCGTATGGACGGTTCGTCCACACGAGGCCGAAACGGAGCCCTCAAACGGTAACGGGTCCCAAGGTGGGTAGATCTGCGGACGGAACGCTCTGGGGGGTCAGCTCACCCCCGCGTCACCGCTGAATCCACCGCGGAGAATAAACAGAAGGGCAACCAGGCAACCATGGCAACCGTGCTCGTGGGGTCTTCTTCGCTGCTTTTGGTGTATTTTGTGGCGGAAGTACAGCGCCACTTACAGGCCCGGCATATGTACTACAGCGTCTCCAGCGGGTCGAGCGGTCTCGTATGAAGGGACACATTTCATGAGGCGATACCGTGTGGACGGAAGACTTTTTTGATATCGAATTCGGTTCTTTCTCCGTTTCGTCTCCGTGTAGATGCATTGTGCTATTTAGCCACTTGTTGTTTTTAAGAAATGTGAAAGGTTTAGATGTTCACCAGTGGGGTATTTACTGACGTATTTCATATCTTGTAGTCTTTTATGGACCACAGACCCTCTGTGGGCAGCTGGGGGGGGACTGACCTGCTGCAGGGAGTGCTCGTGCCTCCGGGCCTGGCTCTGCCTCGTGATGAAGGACCAGGTGGAGAGCTTGTAGTGGTTGAGCAGGCAGATGATCACCACCACCATCACTGTCATCACCACGATGATGATGACGATCTGAACAAACTCCAGTTCAGCTGCACACAGGGGAAAGGGGGGTTAGCATCAAACATACACAAACAGACGCGGGTTCAAAATAACTTCAAACCATTAAAAACAACACATAAATGTACATTGAAAAATATATTACATAGACGCTGGATATACTAACATTGCATGGATGCTGGATATACTAACATTGCATGGATGCTGGATATGCTAACGCTATAACCAACCTATTTGGGAATAAATATATACATTTAGTGTACTTGTTTATGACACTTGAGTGTGTTTTACAGAGGCAATGCCCTCTTGCTTTACTTGTATCCCCAATTTCTAACTGGGAATGTTGCTATAGGACGTGGTAGAAGAAGACTATTGAAAAGAGACACATTATTCACACGACGTTCACATCTGTTCAAGTTGGAGTTTTACATTAGAATACAATGCATTTCTCTAAGCAATGTTTGCTTTTCTACTTTTTTCTGGATTAGAATAGTGGCATAATTCAATATTTCCCAAAAAGCTTAAAAATATTCTTGGAAACCAAAACTGTGTAAAGTCCATCAGCTAATGGAAATATTGTGATTCAATTCAATTGAAGGGCTTGATTGTCATATGCACAATATCCACAGCAAAGACGTTTGCAATGAAAATCGAAAGATCCCATGCTCCTCCGAGATGCAACATACAGTATACTTAAGAAATAAAATAAAAAATACCTAAAATAGTGCAACCAAAAATCCCAAAACATAATGCTGCAAACGCTCCAAAACAGCAGTTCTTTTGGAGAGGTATGAAACAATCAAACATTGACCTAAAGGTGTTTATAGCAGTGTCCCTGACTTAGCACTATTCTGACTGTTACACCTTCACCAGCAGAGGGCAGCACAGGGCAAACTCCTGTGTGAGTGAGCACTCCACAAAGAAAAGATTCAAAACACAGGAGAGATGAGTGTCGACTCTGTCCCAGGGCCTTTCTCATTTCACTCATTTCGACTCCTCCGGTAGTGACCCGGAAAACACACACACACACACACACACACACACACACACACACACACACACACACACACACACACACACACACACACACACACACACACACACACACACACACACACACACACACACACACACACACACCACACACACACACACACACACACACACACACACACACACACACACACACACACACACACACACACACACACACACACACACACACACACACACACACACACACACACACACACACACACACACACACACACACACACACACACACACACACACACACACACACACACACACACACACACACACACACACACACACACACACACACCAGGGCAGGGTGGTCGCTGCCTTACAGTCACGTCTGTCTCTTGTTCATTGTTTCGTCCTTTTTCTTTCTCCTCCCACTCTGTTTCTTTGAACCCTTCCTCGCCTCCCATCGCTCTATCCATCTTTCCACTAACTCTCCCCCTCTTCCTTCTGAACAACAACACTCTTTCTGTAGTCTGCCAGCTGTTTCTGCCTTCATCAGTCTTTTTCTTGCATTCCTTCCTCACCCACTGTCATTCCTTCTCTGTGTTCCTTATTATCCATTGTCTCCCACTTTCAGTTTTGCTCTTCCTCTGGCATCCCTCCTTCCTCTGTGTCCCTGTCTGCAATCCAACATGCTTTTTGTTCTGAGCAGAAGTCTTGACCTTGTCTGGTGTTGGCACCCAGTCTGACCTCTGACTCACATCTTACTCACTGCTGAATACTCACTCACTTTATCTCTGTGTGTGTGTGCGTGCGTGTGCGTGTGTGTAGCTCTGTAAGAACAATGACACAATGTACACTCAGCTATTTGAGCTACAATCCCTCCATTCTGGCGGAAAGATCCTCCGCACATCTCTGTGCATTTTTCGGAGTTTACTACCCACTATCCACTTTGGCCGTTTTTGAAACAGCAAGGGAGGGAACAGGTTATGACAAGAAAACTGCATGTGAAATTCCAAAATCAAAAACAAAAAAACTGACAGAGATTCGATTACCTCCGTAAAAAAATACCTTCATAAATTAAAAAGTAAATAACATATGGATTTGAACAGACAACTGATAAGTGCAGGAAACACAGAAACAGTTAAAGCAGGGACCAGCCCAGTCCAGTAAATCCCAACCTCTCCCAGTGTTCCCAGCCTCAGTAATCCTCCCCGGCTTATTCATCAGCATTAGGGTGGGTTCATGTGGAGCCTGAGCTGAAATGTAAACCCACCCAAACCTGCCTCTGCCCACACCACAGCCGCCACAGGGGAGGGGTGGGGTAAGACTGAGAGGAAGAAGGCCAACTAACACAAACCACAGGGAGGCGTAAAAAAACGCTGCGAAGAATGAAACCTAAGCCAGTAAAACCAACCGACGTTAACCACACAAGAGCGGAGGAATGAGGTGCAAAACAACACCGGCAGACACGCTCAACGACTTTTCTTTTGCAAGACGAAGGACGATGAGAGAAGTGTTAAACCAATAACTGAAACCCACCTTATTAATGAATGTATAAGTAGTGAAGCCACAGCAACAACAAAGTATGCTCCCCCCAGACATTGGGAAAGAGTTTTTAAGCTATTCACAATATATATAGTGGGAATGAGGGGATACAATGCTGAAAGTGAAGATGAAGAACCTAACAGCACTGTTTGCCCATCTGGCAATGTCCTCACACACACATAATAGCAAAGAAGTGGAGTGTTCTGGAAAGAAGCAGCAAGTAGTGTAGTAGCTAGTAGAGCCATGATCCTCCAACGTGAGGGAGAGGGGCTGAGGTAAAGTTACATTCCAGGAACCAGGCTTCTGAAAAGCTCTTACACATAGTTTTCTTCTGGTCTGCTGGAGCCCTATATCATTGGTTCCCCAACTCGTGTGAACCCTTAGAGCCAAGCAAAGCCTACTCATGACCCTGTAAAGAGTCCTGGTTCAGGTCTGTTAGCCCAGCTAGCACAGATCAAGTGTGAAGGTGTTACAGTTATCAATGGAAACCCTGCTGCTGACCACTGAACTGAACTGAGACCGCCTGAACAGGTGTCCTCTTGCAGGTGGACTCTCCTGCGGAGGGTTTGAGGTGGGATAGCAAACAAACCAAGCACAGGATTTTAGAATAGTAGATGTGATTTTATCAGGATTTCAAATGTTAAACTCTCTACAAATCCATCTTCTGATCATAAAATATGAATAGGAGCTGGTTCTTTAGTTGATCTGTAAAATGCCATCAAACCTATTGATGCAAATCATTATACTGGCGCTGGTACTTTCCGTGGTATCTGGACCAAAGACTGATGGAAAGACTGACATCCTGAGAGCCATTCTGCTCGCTACGTTGCTAAGCTTACTGTCTTCTTTGGGAGCTTGAGCCACAACCAGCCCAGGCCTGTTCGCTCACCACAGCCGCCACAGGGAGGGGACGGGGGGAGGATTTCATTCAGAGAACAGCATTCTGGGAAACCAAGTCAACCAGGCCCCTGTGTAAGCCTACCTTATACAGTAAATACCACAAACGCTGCCTTCTGCTGTTGTGAGAGCCACACAAACCAGACAGCGGCTTAAAGCTGCCTTCTGAAGTACAGCCGGGCTGTTTTTACAGTTCAAGCTAAAGAAAAGAAAAGCTGCTAGCCTCTGCTCAGAACATGAGGGAGGAAGGAAGCAAGAGGAGGAGTTGAGACGGGTGGAATGAACCTGGGCTCCAGAACACAGTGTACAGCTCTGACTCTCACACAGGCCACAGATCAGTGTGTGCCTGCAGTCTGCATTACCAGCACCAGCCTGATGTTATTACAACAGTAATCCACTTGTCTAAACAATATGAGCCCGGCGTCTGCAGCACCCTTATTCCTTCAGCGCGATGAATCATTGCAGCCAGCCGTCCCATCGCTCTGCTGGGGAGAGGCCACTGAGTGTGTTTCATCATGTGAACGTGACCGTCCACACAGCACCATAACACCACTTTCAGACATCTGTACAGACATAGGTTACAAGTTTGCATGAACTTTCTAAAAAGCAGTGTTGCTAGAAGATTTGGATTTTCTAGATTTGGGTTTTCTGCCCAAGCAAATGACATTTTATCGATTGGATGGATGCATATTGTGCTCCCCCCAATAAAATGAGGCTAAATACCACTGAATTGGCCCTTTCTTCTCCTTAACGTAGCAAAATAATTCACTCTGTATCGGCTGACATGTGTCGTTCCCAATACTTCTTCTTTAACTGTAGCCATGTTCACAGCTAGACAGATAATCTTCTCCCTTATTTAGCTACAGTGCAATAGTAAAAGTACAGAACCAACATAATAGTATTGTTGTTAGAGACTAGGCTGGGTATAATTTGAAAGTTACGTTGATATAATACTTACGTTTTGTGACCAGTAAGAAAATGTTTTTCATACCTTTGAGGAACGCTTATACTGTATGTATTTTTTGTCTATCCAGCATTTTGGTCAGTACTGAAATATTCTGAAGTTTGATACCTAGCTTTACCCAACCCAAACAGCAGGAGTGTGTCTCAATGTCCACTGACAAAAGCCAAACACTCAAAGAGAGAGGACACACAGTGACCCAATGACGGACATTTGACCTTTGTGTGTGTGTGAGTGAGAGGCCAATGTGAGGTCATACAGTTCAGTGGACCCCAGTGAAAAGAAGCTGTCAGACCCAGCAGTCACAGCACACACTGTCTGAGGACATATGCTATGTCAGGAATTGATCATAATAATACACGTCTGTCTGGTAGTTTTGCTTTTACTTTTCCAGGTATTGAGATATCTAGAACTGGAATTTTGTTACAGACATATTTCAGTGGAAGAACATTCAATCTGTATTTATTACAAATAAAGTACCACACTCTCCTAGTCTACTGTTCCTTGCTAGCTTAGCAACAGCATGTTTTAGTGCACAGTCCACATTACCTTGGACAGATTCACACAGCCAAGTCATTCCTACAGCAACAAGAAATAGTTAATGCTGGGAGAAACTCACTTCTGCGAATGATGAGGGAG